TAAGACTACATCCACATTGCACAAATTCTGGTACAAACATTAACTCTGTGTCATCCACAAAATCCACAAAATATAATGATTAATTTTTTTTATTATTTAAGTAAATACAACTATAAAATACTTGAATATTTAAATTAATTTCTATTTACAAATTTTCTTAAATATTGCATATATTAGCTATAAATATATATAGTTTTTACATATAAGAACATCTTCGTTAATTATTTTTACATTATATTTATATAATAGATGTATAATTATATTAAATCAGCGGTACATTAAAAAAAGTAAACCATTATGTCAAAATGTAATAGTTTCAAACTTTAAAGTAAAGTTTTGAATATAAATATGATCATAGATAAGGAATGCCTATGATAATAAGTATTTGCAAAAAATAAAATACGTACTGTTATAACGTAATGTTATGTAAAACTTATTACTTGAATTTGTATCAGACTAATTAAAATTAATAATTTGCAGATTATATATTAAATTAATTTGTATTCTTAGCTTTATATATATAAAATTTGGTCAAATAAATTATCTTATGGCAACAAAGTCTATACATACTTATAAATAAACATTATAAACAAAAATAATATGTTAAATTCATTTATAAAATTCTCATACTTGATAAATCTTCAAATATATTCAACATAGTTGAATAAAGTCTTTTATTGAACTTTTCTTATTTTAGAAGTTAGCACGCTGTAAACTTGCAAAATGCCTTCGACAAATTCTCCAATTTCCATTTTACTTTCCAATATTATGAATACTATAAGAACAACTATAATCTAACTCTAATTTATATATTTTTCAATGTATGAGTAGAATTAGCTGATGTTGAACTTTGTCTGCGAAAAGGATTCCAGGGTAATTTTCTTTGTCTGGTCTGAGCTTGTGCCAGAGTTCCTGGTGGACTAGGACCTCCACTGGAGACTCCGGAACTACTAGAATACGTCGAGACTGATCCTTTATTACCATTGCCATTCATGTAACCATTTCCATTGGACATTGGTGAACAAGATGATGGCTAAAAATCAGACAGTTATGTAATAAATTTAATTAAAAATTCCTGGTAAGAAATCAATGTATTCAGGCGAAGCTAACCTTGAGATAATTTTTGTCCATTGGCGTAACTAATCTTAAGGTAAGTGATGTGTTAGCATTTTGTATTAATTGCACTACTTCTTGGTGGGGAGACCACTTCACATCTTTATTTCCAATACCGACTACATAATCACCTTCTTTGACACCACCAAGCTAATAGAAAAAAAATATGAATTTTAAGATATTATTTGATTACCATGTTTAAAATTTACTTACATCTGCTAAGGAATGGGCGTCCACATGGGATACAATTACAGGCGCATCACCTCGTACAGCAAATCCATAACCATCGTTTTTCTAAATACAACAAATACATGTATTATAAAAACAAATATAGATTTTAATAAAATAATAAAATATGTATATATTTACCGGTTCTTTGTGTCTTTGTAAACGTACTACTCTAGGAGCGGTCCAATGTCTTCTTGCTGAAAATATAGCAATCGGCCCCAACGCTCGGAAAGGATCTTCAACCCTGTGAGCAGCCAAATCTGGCTCTGTTACCGTTAATTGAAACTTGCTGGAGGCTGCAAAAAATGAATATTGCAAAAATTGCTTCAATAAGGGCGTCTTGAAAACGATAGATATCCATTTCCATACTAACCTTCCAAAGGTGGAGCGTCCAACATTTCAGCCAGTTCAGCCATAGTTCCTGTTTCTTCTTTTACAGCAGCTGCAGTAGATGCTGCTTCACTATGTGCCATCCTTAAAACTCTCGTCAATGCAGATTTTCCTTTAAGTTCCCTGCTCATACGTTGCAACCTCTGAGCCTCTTCATGACATGCAATAGCTTCCCTCAAATGTGCTATTCCCAGTGCAACGCGATCTTCAGGCACACTTGAAGTACAAGAAGACTCTGGGCCTAGAATCGAGGCCGCAGAATGCTGATGGGATAAAGCTGGAAATAAATCGGTAATTTAAAAAAACTTGACTGATAATTCTATTGCTAGTGATTGTTTTCCCATCTAACCCGTATAATACTCCCGTTTTACGCCAATAAGCGCCGTCCAAGAAGCAGGAACGAATTCTGCTACTGCATCAGCAGCAACTGCAGCGTGTAGATCACCATAATCGCGCGCTACTTGCCCAGCTTCACCAGCCAAATCCCTTTCGAGGTCTCCTCGAAGGGATAAGGCATCTTCATCTTCTTTATCAGTCTCTTCACCATTGAGAAGTGATCGGGATTGCAATGATAATTTCTCGTACAAGCATTCACGAGCTTGCGCCTATTAGGAAAAACGACAAACAAGTTTCATAACATTGAACAAGCCAGTGAAAACATAATTATATTTATATGTTGTGTGTTATATTTAACTAACCAGCATCATTTGGACTAAAGTATCGAGCACTTGTGGCCTTAAATCCATGGAAGGAGCATTCGTGAAAGTATCCAAAATATAACGGAAAACACCAGCTGCTCTTAGGAAGCTATCTACTGCGGAATCTAATCCTCTACTGCTATTGCGCTCCTTTAACATTTCGAAACAACAATTAAAAATAGTTTATATGAAATATAATACTTGGTCAATTTAAAATTTATTAACTTGTTTAGCACCAATTTGCGTGTATACAGCACCTAAGTTGAATAAAACGCAAGCTTTCTCAAATGCAACTGTTCTTTGGCAGGACGGTACACCTGTTGAAAATAATAAAATTGATCTATTATTGTAAATTGAATTATTATTACCTTATAAATATATTACCTATAATGATGATTTATATAAATCTTGGCGTAATAAAATAAAAATATGGTAATATATATAAATATATTTAATAATTTAATACCTGTTAATGAGTCGTACCACTCAAAATAAACGCCTAAGCTTCGATCAGGTGGAAAAAATCTTCTCTCAACAAAATATAGCATATTGTAATACCTAAAGAGCAACGCGGCTCCTGATGAGTCTCGTGCTGGTGTCCTGATCGCCTAAAAGTAAAACAATTCAAGTAAATATTTATTTATGATTTATTTTATATTAATGACAAAATTAATTTACCTGTCTTGTATCCATAAGATCAGCTATGGCATCTTGGTAGATAGAAGCATCTTCACTATAATGTTCTAATATAAAATCCGTAAAAGGTTCACGAAAATCGACCTCTTTTGTTTCTTTAAGACCCAAAGGTATCATGGGCACTGCGACTTGTTGACTTGATATACGGAAATTTAAAAATAAAAATTAATCATATAAAATAGTCACATTTTGGTCAGAAGAATTTTTTTCTAAACACAAACTTTTTTCTTGATTTTCAGGTCCATTTATCAGACATATATGTCTCACATGGCTCATGTGGAGCTTCTTAGCATCAGACACATATGACTAACATGGCAATTATCGTGTTAAATATTAGCTTACCTATCATTTTGGTATATTTCTACGGAAGAATTTAATTCAGCTAATTGCTCCTTTAACAACTGCAAGTTGGAGTTAACGAAACTTAACTCCAGTGCAACTGTGTCTCGTAATTTTCGATTTGTTGTGGCCTAAGAAAAATAATAACTTTAGTAAAAAAAATTTAATATTACTAAATAAACAAAGTAATTTGTTGTTAGAATTCGATTTACCATGTTTGACAATATTACCTTCCGTACAAACCGATTTATTAATGGTTATTTACAAACTAGGAAGTCGTTATATCTCTCAAGTTAATAAATGTTATAATATTATTGGAAAGTATCAAAGCAATGACAGACTATAATTTGTCAAACAAGAAATCTCTGATCAATGTGAATGCTTGATCGATTTTCATTCTAAAAAACCTTATTTATGTACAACCGTCAATGTTTTCACTAAGATTTTCTCGTAAATGCAGAATTAACAGTATTATTATAATCACTTTCTATTTACATAGAAAATCTAATCATTAGAATATAATTTCTATACAGTTGTCATTAAACATTCATGCCAATGATTTATTTTCGCTTTTTATTAATGATTTGAGAGGCAAAAGTAGAAGCAATCCAATAATTATAATGGGGGAAACATAATTGTGACAATAGAGAAACTAAGTATATGATAATAAATTATATTTATTTATTAGTTTAGTTAGATAAAAGCCAAACGACTTCAAGCATATATTCCTTAAAAGTAATAATAAATCCCTATAGAATAGAAACAATATATTCCCATAAAAAGTTGTTCCTTATTTAAATTCAAGTAGTATACAATTAGATCATACATTGACAAATTAAAGATTTATTTCTAAACAAGCATTTAGAATTGATCTAAGTGTAAAAATGATGTCGAAATGTCCAAAATTTACTCACATGCGCACCATCCCTTTTGTGTTCACGTTTGATCTCAAATGATTCAGAATAACCCAAAACGTCCAGAAAATCTAGCAAACCGGATTTTTTGGTATAAATGAACTTCACATTCGGGAAGTTAACAATTATTATTATCTTTAAATTTAGAAAGTGCAGAAATCCCAAAACGTTTTCGTATAGTGCATATAAAAAGTTAAGATGATATCAAAATTCGTTCTGATCTTCGCATTTCTTCAACTCCATATAAAATATAAAACCGCATATAAAATATAAAACCGTTGACCAATACGGAAGATAAACAGGCTTTCTCTTAATTACTTGACAAGATTATCAAGAACGAACTTATAAAATATCTAAAGAATTTTTATAAACATCAGTGGATTATGTAGACAAGGTCGAAGAAAAGGGGACAGACACCTGAGATAGAAGAAATTTTAAAACTAATAGTACAAGACTATTTTAAAACCTACATTTATGAGAATATAGTAATAAAAACACAATGAATATGTTTATTTTATACTGCTTGATAACGAGCTGGCCGAGGTTGGGATCGAACCAAGGATTAGTTTCTATAACCATTACACCACGATGGTCTCTACGATGATTCTATATTACATATTGTGAAAGTCAGCACGAATAATTATTGTTTTTCAGATCAAATCTAGCGATATAAAATGAATATCATGATATAAATATATAAATAAAAACGTAGTGCAATAGTGCGTATTATGAGCAAAAATACATTGTTTTTATTTTGCAATATAGTTGACGTTATAATGAAATATTGCGTGTGATTTCTTTTGCCAAGATTTCTAAATAAACCTTTAAATATTGCAATAAACTTCTATTAGAACATGCATAATATTATGAAGGAATATACATATTAAAGTAGTATTTAGTCAAATTTCAACTCAAAACCTGGAAATTTAATATATTTCTATTTTGTTTCATCAGAAACAATGTTTTTATCATGCCTTTATTAAACAATCAATAATTTCTTAGTATGTTTTTTTTTCAAATTTCCCAAAAACTTTAAATTAAAAAAAATGGATGAAATTATAAATCGCTCAATTCGGCATTATATCATATAAAGTACTTTCACTGATTACGTTCCGATAAAAGAAAGTAAAATATACAATACGAGTTAAAACAAGATCAAGAATGAAATATTTCCGAACACAAAAATTAAATGATGCTAATCAACAAGGTTAAATGTCTTCAAGAAAAAAGAAGTTTGCTTTCGCTTGCTATCCATATATATTTTTAGCATGATACATTTGATATGTGAATAATAATTATTTTTTATTTTCACTTATATTAACCAATTTTTTTCTAAAAAATCTAAGTTATATACGTTATAAACCAGGGACGTACGTGCCTTGGCGGGGCCACGTATCAAAATTGGCGTGCATTGGAGTGATAAAGATTTTTCACAAAATATAAAAAATGTATAAAATTAAAACGGAATTGAATTGAAAATTTTACAAATGGTTGCAAAATATATATTTACCCTCCTTGCCTTTTTTATGTAACTTGTAAAAAAATTCAAAGTTGGTAAATTCAATCTGATGCGCGAGGTTGATGGGCTCCGCGCTTAATACTATTTAAACAAATAGTATGTTCTTAAAAAAAGATATTACGAATTTTATGAAACTATAAATCGACATACATTGGTACTAAAATTGGTCGGTTTTCAAAAACCGGTTTTGAAAACCGTTTTTTTTGGCGAAAATGATGGAATTCTAAAACCGTTTTTTTAGTGAAAAAAGTCGGTTTTCACTTTATAAATGGTAAATGACAAATATAGCCAAATGTAAAAGATAGATGAAAGCGTTTTCATTCTTGAAATCATATCGGTTCGATAGCATTTGACATCTTATCAGTTTGCAATGGTTCGCAGAAAGTTTTTGTATATATTAATTTAGATTTTTATACCAGTGTATATATTAATTTAAATCAGTGTGACTTCTTTTTGAAGAAGTAACTTCCTCTACTCAAACTTAAAAAAAAGAGTTTCAAACCCTAGAAGCCACAAATAAAAGAACAAAAATCCTACAATTATTATATCAAGCTTTAAAAACAATTAAGCGTGAGAGTATTTTCTATTTCAGGAAATTTTGTGAATAAACAAAGGACACGTCCCCACTTCATCTTCTAGAATTACTGACTATTTTTAATTTTTCAAAATCACAAAAAATGCGAGAATGGGTCTCTAAAAATAGTCAGTAATTCTAGAGGATGAAGTGGGGGTTCTCAAAACATTGGCACCTGACCCATGTTTTTAGAAAACAGAGAACGATCGTCGTTAAACAGTTGTATCTCCTTTTTTTTATTGTACATGAACGATTTACAACTGTCCGTATGGACATTTGGAAAATATAACGGCTTATGCTAATTGATGTAAGGGCTGTAATTGATTGTGGTTGTTTGTGGAGTAACCTGTTTTATTACACTTTACTATAGAAACTTAGATGATGATGATGGGAAACGGGTGTTTGCGTTTATCCTTTTTGGAAAGTTATCTTACAGCAATATTATGACGAGGGTGTGTATCTCCGAAAATAATTTAAACTTTAAAAAATCTTCTTCTGCACATATTTTTGAACATTCATACTTTGAAAATATTAAAAAATAAAATGGGACTTTTTTAAATTCTAGACCCGAATAGAATAGACCTACTGTTATCCACTAAAATGTCAGTTAATTAAAAATTTAACTAATAAAAATATTTTTTCTTCACCTTGTATAAATTTTCTGCTCCTGCCCGCAGGCGCAGTTCTTTGTTGATTTCTTGGTTGAGCTTGCATCTTCTGGACTGCAACTTCCCGCGGCACGTTGCAGCGCGCGGGTCCGAGCCCTTTAACAAAAAATACATTATTAATTAAACAAACACTCAAATAAATAAAATTTTGTTGAATTATAAAAGACTGACTTATTCCTAACTAAAATAATTAGATTTGAAATGAGTGATCAATGTACATTAATGAATTTCTCTTGAAATGCATATCAATTACCTGATTTATAAATTCAATTACTAAAGTAAGATTTATAGTTACAGTTTTTGCATTTAGAAAGTTCAAGTGCTGAAAATGATTAGAAATCAAGATTTTTCAAATGTCCGGTTTATCTGGAGCTTGTTTGTGCTAAAATTACCATTAAAAGGAGTATGCCGGTGCTAATATTGAAAGTAGTTTTGCATTCAATGCGCGAGCTATTTTAATCGATATGATACGAATGCAGTTTGCTATAAAATAATTTAATGGATAAATTACAGGTAAATATTTTGATAATATTCTACTATCTTACTATTTATTCTTACCAGCTTACGTTTCCTTTCAAAAAAATAATTTGTGTCCGGTACCCACTTCAGCATAGTAATAAAACAAACGCACTAAATTCTATCATTATGACTCTACACATTATTGTTACAATAACAATATTTAGTTGCTTTTTGTTATCAATAATTTACAAATTTGAATATCTGAGATTAAAATTCATTAGTCTATCAATTTGAAGTATGCTGAATATAAATGTTTTGGAATACATTTGTGCAGATGTTGCCAATCTTATTGACATTTTGTAAAACGCTATTTGTGAACTGTATACAAACTTAAAATGCAGTATGGGTGTTGCAAAAATTATTACGTACCAAATATAAAAGTCTTAAAATTATATTTATATTTTCAGTTCGTATAAAACGTTTTAGTTCGCCTAAAACTACAAGATTGTTGTAGTTCCTAATACGGTTGTTAGTTAGGAATAAAGATAATGAAATATAAAAATAATAATATGTAAATATTATATGTAACTGACTTGTATGAAATTAAATAATTTAAGCTAAACACGTCGATCTCTAGTTACAATGAAACATCATTTTGCGTTTCCCGGCTCCAAACGAGTGCGGTCACTTTAACCTTAACCTCCGCATGATTTTAGGTTAAGTGCTCATAAAGGCGGGTCGCAGGGAAAACCAATGTTACAATTAACGATTATTATTTAATTTAATATTTGGAAATAAAAAAATCAGTTTTTATGCTAAAATGTGAATCTTTGCTATGCTATTACATTAACATATTATTAATAAATTCAAATAAATCGTAGTTTGAATAAATAATCCTAATCAAGGTAATAATTATAACATTTTATACTGGAATTGAGATATAATTAATAATATTATCTAAAAATTTGACATAATAAAACAATAGCAATTTTAGGCATAGTAAGACTTATTTTTATGACTTATGAACAAACTTTTTTTTTTTGTTGTTGTTATTGTTAACAATAGATTTATTAGTACAAAATATATTAAATTTGTTAAAAATTCATTACCATACCATATCATATATTTATTATCATTTACATCACGTAGGTAATTATGATATGACGTTCGTATAAGTATCTGATCATTATTAATCCTGGAAGATAAAAATAAGCAATTCATATTCATATGGTGGTGTACAATACCATTTTAATTATAGAAAGTATTAGAAAGTTTGAAAACATTTTAATTATTTCTTTTTGCATATATACTTATCTGTGAACGTATTACATATGATAAGTTATTGATTGCAAATTATTAAAGTGATTGGCGAAAAAGTGTAAATATTAAATATAACTCTCTTAAGTAAATGAGAAATAAATCATAAGTAAATGACAAAAAAGAAGAAATATATTATATTGCAAGAAGTTATAAAATTTAAATGCACACAAATTTTAGTATAATTTTTCATCGTAGAGTAATAATAATAGAGTATTTATAGAGTAATAGTAATGAATGCAAATCTAAATCTTAGCATAAATCGTTGATTTAATCGCGATTTGAACCGCGTTTTAATTATAATATTAGAAAAAAGTAAGATATTTCATTTTTGTAGAACAATAGCAAAGAACATGACCTGACCAGATGATTCTCTATCATTAACTATTTTTTCACGTCCTTGGAAAAGATCATCCACATATATAATTATTTTAATACTCATCTTTATACGAATGATTGTCTGCAATTACTTTGCAATTACGTTCACACTCTTATTGTTAGTTTGTTTAATAAGATTTTCAAATGATAAATACAACATACGTTATTATTATTAGCATAAAAATGTTTTATTATAAAATTCTCATGATTGCAAATAGTGGGAGAACAGAATCAGCCTTTTGTAATTAAGATATCATACATGGAAAACGTTTTATGGAAAATACTATGCACATGGTAATAAAGAAATGATAACACTCTTGGATCAGAAAGTCTTAGTGTTTATAATCGCTTATTAATTTTCAAAATTAATTGACTACTTAGGGGAAAGTCGCGTAACGTCGGACGGCACCAAGCACCGGACACACTATTTACCTGTGACGCACACGGCCACGGCGAGAGCAACCCTTTGCTGTTTACATTTGAGTGGTATGTAAAGATAAAAGTTCTACTTGATTGTTATCGGTAAAATGGTAGAATATTATAAGATCTTTTAACCAATTTTAGTAGGTGCCAGCAGATGAACGAAAATGTCTGTCCCTTAGCACCGGACACTAAGTCATCCCTTAGTGCCGGACAGTAAACATATTGACATTTCTTGTGAGAATTTACGTAATTTATTCCACCACTAGGAGACTTTTCCCTACTATAGTAATTTTTATGAATTCATGCACCAATTAGAACTTAGGTTAGAACAACCAATATAGATGTAACTACTCTATATATTATGATATTAAAATCAAGAAAATTTTTGAATTCATTCCTTAACAGTACTAAAGTCGTACAATTTATTAAGCCAAGTGATTGTTAAATTCTTGCTTTCAGTCTGGTTTGAAATCGGAGCAACACAACGGAAAATCCTGTATTAAATGATCGAATAAAATAGAATGTTAGGTACAAAAACCTACATTTGTCATGGTATTATGCAAATAGAAGGAAAACTAGAAGAAACATTCCATTTTCTTAAATTTATAATATACTTGAATTTGTGTTTCGTGGCAACTGATAATAGCAGTAACAATTCTAAAAACACCTTGACCAAGATCTGATACCTGCATTGTCTCATTTTCCTAACCAATACTTTCATTTCAGAAACTTTTCTATCTTTTTTGCAAATAATCTAATATGGTAAGTGGTTTTTCTTTACATTTTCTAAGATTTATAATACTTTCAATCCGTTATTACAAAGAAACAAACATCGACCACAAAACCTGATACAACCTCGCTCTGGTTAACCTGAATGTTCGAGTTCTCATCATAAGATGAAAATCGATCGCTGATTTTTTTTGTTAAACTAGAAATCTGCATAGAATCATTATTATTGCCAATTCATATGGTTTAATTAGTCACGATGAATCCATTTTGTGATTTTTCTTTACTCTTTGGAAGGCGAAGAAAATTGGAATCAATGGTAATAGAAGTAGCCACAATGATAAAGTCGCAAGAAAAAAATAGGAGTTTGCTATTCAATATCAGCATCGATAAACTATTTTTCACTATAAACCGAATTGAAAACGGTAAATAGTAAGTTTATAGTTAAGACTTAATTATCTCTTAATTATGCAGAGAATTAGCATATTGTACACAATACTATAATCTTATTTTGCATATTCTACGGTATCACATGCGTTAAACAGAAATATAAATGTAAATATTCCAACGTTATACAACTACATTAGATTTGAATCAGAACGACTTAATTTTCTCACAATCAAGAATGTAATGGTGTGATAAAATAAGTAAATATAGAGTAGACGCTTAGTATTTATTTGAAGAAGCTTTGGATTTGAGATTAAAAGCTATTTGAAGCTACAGATTAGAATGTAAAACTATATAAAAAAGCTCAGTTCAATCAAAATTGTGTCAATTTTTCGAGATATTGCACCAAAAATCATAAAATGGTAACTTATTACTAGAAGAAAATTGTAGCTATAAGCAAGAAAATAAATATTTTATTTAAAAATGCTATATAACAAGTGAATTTTATCACAAACTTCTTGAATTTAAATTTATTCCGATATGTATCATTCTAATGTATTTGCACAGACCATTTTATCTATTTGATTAAACAATCACTATTTAACATGAATTAAGGGTCAAAAGCAAAAATAAAATGACTTTTTTGATTAAAAAAAACTAGTTTATATATTCGACAGAAATCAAAATTATTTCTTGTAAAAATTAAATGCAATTCTCTAGAAACTTCAATTCCTTTTCGAATTATAAGAATGCAAAAAACCCACTGTTTAATTTTTCTCCAATGATATTATATATAATTTTTAATAAAAATTGAAAAACTGAATTGCATATAAATATTTACTATTTAAAGCATGCTTTATAATTTTTTTTATAAAGCATGTTTCAAAAAGTATATGATATTCATATGCAATTCAAACAAAGTGCGATTCATAACATTAGAAAAAACCTGGATTTAAAGCGAAGATACATTTTTAACTAAAAATAAGAATTAACTATATAATTTTATGAAAAACGAGAAGAAGAATTTTGTAAATCCCACTGCGTACTTAATTTTAAATTAATAGTTAATGTTGATTAGAAGTTGAAAGAGCCTTTAATAGAAAAAAAAACACAGATTTAGAACGATGAATTTTATAACTATACTTGAGGACCCGACAGACGTTGTCCTGTACTTATGGTTACAATTCAAAAGTTCTAATTTTTTTTTATAATCTATACTGATATTTACCAATTAATTTAAAATTATTATGTTTTTTTACACTACAGTCTATACCGAAATGTATATACATCCACCCATATGGTTCTTAAATGTACAACTGCTTTAAATAAAATGATGAATATTTGCTTTTTTGAAAAACATTATAACACATTTCTTCTTATAATTAGTTCTTTTATCGATATCCAAT